TGCGCCACCACGCCTGGCCACAATTTCTTACTCAAAGACTGTGTTTAAAATTCACGCCCAGCATCTGGGAGGCAAGATGATATGACATTTGCGTAGGAGTAGACCTGGGTGTGGCCCTGATTGGTACTTGGCTCCTATGTAGTCCTGGACAAGAGAGCAAGTCCATCACCACCCTCACCCAGCTGGTGGACTAAACCTAGGCGATCTAATCCAGAGTCCCTGCTTTTAACCTCTAGCCTATATAAGGATGCAATGGTGCCAATGTGTTTGTCTCAGTTCTTGGCTACTCAAAATGGGAGCAGTGAGGGTGATTCTCTATCATGTGTCTCTTTGTTGTTTTTTGAGACAGAGTTGCTTTGTAGCCTAGGCTGGCCTAGAACTCTTGATCCCCTTGCTCCAGTCTCCCAAGAGCTGGGACCACAGACATGTGCCACCAAGGCTAGCCGATGATTGCCCCTTAATGCCCTGGTGAATAGGATGACTATGATGATGGCGACAGGGTTGAGAGAAGCCTTGCACATACAGGTCTGGGCTGCAGCTGAGTGGTAGGAGGAGGCCTCCTGTTCAATCTCCCAAGAACCCAATCCCCAAAGAACCCAGATTGAAGCAAAACAAAACCTTCAACCAGCAGAAGATGGGAGACCAGTGACTTCCAGATTCTTCCCCAAATGCTCCTACTGATGCAAAAAGCAAAACCAAACAAAAATCATCTGGAATTAACCCCAGTAGGTCTTGGAATGAAGTCACTCCATGAACCTGAGACGCTAGTCTTGGGTATGTCCTTGTCAGGATAAAGTAGAAAGAGCTCCCGACTGGACCTGCTTAGTACACTACCTGGAATAAAAGGGGTCTAGTGGATGTCTGGGGAGAGGAAAGCCTTGTGTCATGGGAGGGGACTTTGGAGGTCTCTAGAAGGGAGTAGTGTGTGGCTCCCCCTCCCTATTATTTGAGCTCTGTCCCAGGAGTTGGTGGGAAAGGCTTGCCAGAATGTCCTGGGTTCCTGCAGACAGAGGTCTGCTCCACCAATGCAGGGGGTGGCTGCCACTCCTTGAAGAATCAGATCGTTGGCATCCCAGGCTCCTCTCCTGTCCCCACGTCCTGTGTTCACAAATTTGACCTAACTGAAAGACAGCTCCAGAAGCAAACGCCCATGAGAACAGGGGTTTTAGTTTCTCTTATTTATTACTGTTTCCACAGTGACTGGAACAGTCCTTAGCCCATGCTAGACATTAAGAAAAATACCATTGGGAAAATGAATCTTGTCAGGAACCCAGAGGCTTTAAGATGTTCCCGCTGTGCTCTGTGGCTGAACGAAACCGTGGGCTTCGCTCATCTAGTCGGCTGTTGATGCCGTTTCTGCCTTACAAAACAGAACAATGTCAGTTGAGTTTACTGTAGCTTTGAAATGTAAAAGCTATGAAACTGATTCAAAAAGGACAGCTTTAGGAAGTTCAGCTGATTTTAGAATTCACAGGCGATAGTGTTTCTAGAAAATACGCTACAGACACGCTTTTTTAGAATTTTCAAACCATCTTTCCAATTAGCTCTTGGGTTGAGAAGTTAAAAAAAAAACCAGTTGGAAATGAGTGATACCCCATACCGGCACCTTCAGAATGTGGCTAAAGAAATATCCCAAGGGCAGCTTATAGCCTCCGTGAGCTCACCAAACAGGGCTCTGAAAAGAAGATGAACCAAACATTCCACTCAAGAGGCCAGAGAACAAGCACTAGTGCCCACCTCCCAGACATGCACACATGCACACACACATGCACACATGCACAGAGAAGAAAGACAAACTTCACCCAAACTTTTTTCACACATGCACAGAGAAGAAAGACAAACTTCACCCAAACTTTTTTCATAGCTAGGTCACGACAGTGAGGTATATTTCTAGCAGGGTATTTTCTGAATGTTGTCACTAACTAGCACATTTTCTACTAGTCGATAGCTGCCACCCTGCAGAAGATAAAGTCTTGTTAAAGACATGGCCACTCAAGAGTAGCTAATCATGCTTTACTTTATCTAGGGCATTCTGGGAAAGCGTCAGTGGAAGAAGACGGAGGGTATGGCTTGAGGAGGTGATCCGAGAGAGAGCAGGGCTCGTTCTGGTCCTTTCTGGTTATGATGGTTAATCTCAAGTGTCATCTCGATGAAATCTAGAATCCTCTAGGAGCTGGGTCTCTGAGGGGGATTACCTTGATTAGGCTAACCGATGTAGGGAGACCCACCCACTATGGGTGCACCATTCCTAAGCTAGGATCCCAGACTGTATAAAAAAAGAAGGCAGCCGAGCATGAATAGCCACTGTTCTGTTTTTCTGATTGTGCTGGACTGAGTGTCCTTGAACTGTGAGCCAGAACAAACCCTTTCTCCCCCAACTTGCTTTCGTCAGGACATTTTATCTCAGCAACAGGAAAAGAAAGGAAGACCCTGGGTGATCTGACCTGTATGAGATGGCAGCAACTGATGGGACCTGGAGCCTCCTGTGTGAGAGGCAGGATCCTAAGTCACAAGCAGAAAAGGCAAAGGAGGCAAAGAGCTGGCTTTCTCTTCTGCCTGTTTGGAGGTAGTGATTCTGATAACCAGTAGAGACCAGAATATCTCTTCTGAGGTGGTGAGTAGAGCCCCTTAGCCCTGGTTGGAGCCGAGACTTCCTCTGTTCATCTCTCTCAACAGGTCCTGACTCTGGGATCCTGTTTAGAGCAACTCAGAGAGAAGGCCAACCCCTTTTCTGTGGCGCCATCTTTGGTCAGGGTACTGGTGTGGCCTTCCCTACTGCCAAGGAGAAATACCTGGGACACGGGAAGACTTTAAGGCCGAGACTTCAGCTCACTCGAGGCTGCTGGTCCACCATCAACTGTGCATCAGGCCCTGAGTGTCCAGGGGCTTTGCTCTGAGGGTAGGTGCTCAGATGGAGGCTCCCCTGACTTGCTGGCCACTTGAAGTCTTGTTTGGTTCAGTTTGGTTGGTTAGGTTTTTGATAAAATGGTAATGGGTACCTCACAGGTTGGGGTGGGGTTTTTCATAGGAAATTAGTAAAGGTTTATGCAAACGCAAGCTATTCCGGAATGACCTATGATCGGCCTTTTGTGCCAACCTATTATCAGCCTTTTATGCCATTTTTCATATTGAAAACAAAATAGGCAGAAACCATGATACCCCACTTCAGAAGGGAGCTCAAGTATATAATTTTGAGTCCTATGAAACTGTCAATATTTGATCATTTCTCGACCTATAAAAACAGCAGTTTCATGCAAGTCGGCCTGGTAAAGCGCGGTCTGCTGACTCCTCCCTTTAGAGACTTAGAGCCTGTCCTAACTATGAATTGTTCTGTTGTCCTCCCCTGTCTAGTTCCACGGAGCAGCAAGAAGACACACAACTGGAGCTTCCTTTCCCTTGTATTATTTTCTTCTCTGCACACCTGCAACGTACTCAGGACCCAGCTCTGCACAGCGCTGTAGGGGCGAGTTCTGCTAAGCAGAAATCCCCCATAGAAGATCACAGATTTGTCCATTTTTGCCTTCAGCTCGCCAATTGATTTGATAATTGCCTGGGAGACATACACGGGCATACAGACACACAAAGCAAATGTCGGGCCACAGGCTTTTTTCCTCGACAGTGGGATGAAGATGTTTTACTTACTGGAACTCAGATGTCACCTGGAAGAATAAGAGGAGGTACTGGGGAGAAAAAGAGAAAGGAATGGAGACGGCATGGTGTGGGAGGCAGGTGGTCCCCCTTGGTTACCAAGTGTGATGACTCCCCGAATATGACAATAAATCACGGCAGGAATCAATCTGTCGGGAGGCTACTGCTCCATGCTGATAATGCATCAATCAATATTTAATGTTTACACTTTAATTAATCCACACACGGGAAGCATTCTTTCAGTGACAAAAATAAAGGGATGAGAAATAAAACACCTTTTATATCAAGGAGCCGCGAGTGCACGGCCTGTCTGGGTGCTGTCATTGGAGCTGTCATTGATCACTGGGAGTCTCTCTAGCCTTCTAGTCACATTTGGATAGCAAGCTAATGTGGGGGAGGGGCCCAGGGGTGTCAGAATTCAGCCTGGGAAGATGGTGACATCCTCAGAACCGCTGCAGAGTGTGGATTCCGGCAATGGCAGCACAGAATCAGAGGCAGTATTGGGTTCTAAGCATTGGTGTCATCTCCCAGAAAAGACTGCTGTCCACAGATGACAGTCTGTTGCTTGGAGCCTAACGGCCCCCTCCCCTGATGATAACCAGAAGAAATCGCCATGCCTTCTTTGCTACCCACAGGGCTATCTCTCAAACTTTAGTGGAAGCAGGGTGAGCCCCAGAGGCATTTTCTTTTCTGCTTCCAAGAGTGCCAGGATAATGTTAGATACAGAGATCCCCATATCAACCACTGGGACCATGGCTCAACATTCCTAGACCTTCAGCCTGCCAGTGTGCTCTTTTGCCCTGCCTGTATCAAGGGCTGCTTTAAAAATGCCATGCCCCGCATTAACTATGGTTCACCTGTCTCAGTGGTTACACATGACTCTGTGGCTGCAAGGTGGCCTCACACTGCCTTTTGCATTCACCTGGTGAGACACTTTACAGAAGGGTTTGAACTGCCTTCAGAGAGCTGACCGTCGGTGTCTTTTGCTTGGCTCACCAAGTGGCTTCCGGTCCTCGAAAGCCATCGGGTGCCAAAGGGCACACCTCTAGCTGTGTTTGAGAAGAGGGCTCGATAAATATCGCGGCATCTTGACCCATGATACACCCCAAGTATTCGTTGGAACAGCAAGGTTAAGTTTACAGGTATAAAAAAGCAGCAGTCGGGACTGGGTGCATTCAGGTTCAGGCTGGAGCATGGAAAAGGCCCTGGTTCCAGTGCTAGCGAACATAGCAGGACTTAGAAGAGAAACGTCAGAGCCATGATTTGGGTTACCCCAAAAACAGATCCTAAGAGAGGAGCTTGAGGAGGCAGGGAAAGGCATTTGCTGCCAAGCTCGACAATCCAAGTTTGATCCCCGGGACCTGCACTGTGGAAGAAGAGCACCAACTCCTAATGTTGTTCCTTGACCCCCACAGGAGTGCCAGGGCAAGCACTCTACCACATGTGTGCACACATATGCACAGAAAATGAGTCAATGAAACTTAATACGAAAGAATGTGAGAAGGAGGGAAGTGGCCAAGGAAAGAGGAGCCTTCACTTAGGGGACTAGGGTTCAGTCAGGACAGAACATTCATTTCAGCCTTGTCTGTCAGACAGGACAAGGGAGCTAGCGCACACCCAGTCACCTCAGGCTTGTGGCTGATGACTGCATCTAGGGGTGTTGAGGACCTACCTTCTACTCCTCAGGCCAAAGGCTCCAGTAAAGTCATTTTCTCCTCCCAGCAACATCAGTGGCCAAGTTCAAGGTCAAATGCGGCTGCCACACCAGGGCAGATGAGTAATGACTGGCACCCACTGATTGTGACGTGTTTGAAAACAGCTCCAAATGCTTTTAGGCCCAACTATTTCCGTTACTTTCCCATCATATCCATCAACCCAACCACGCTCTTCCTTTCCACACTGGAGGAGGGTGCTGTCAGAGCACGCATGTCAGTCTATGCTACGCTGTTGTGACAACGTGTCAGAGTGTGGGGGCTTCACAGAGGTTGACTGGCCCAAGTTCTAAAGGTTTAAGAGTGTGGAGTTGATATGTGAATGGTTCTGGTGAAAATCTCATAGATAGCATCAAGATACAGGCAAGCTTGGCATGGGGCGCAGGCCTGTAATCCCAGTGCTTGGGATGCTGAAGATCACTACAAGTGTAAAGTCAGCCTGGGTTTACATAGTGAGCTCGAGGCTAGCCTGGGCTATAGAGTGAGACCCTGTCTCAGAACAAAACTCAAAATAAAATAAAAACCCAATTTAACACACACACACACACACACACACACACACACACACACACACACACACACACACACCACCAAACAAACCCTCACAGCTCTCCAAAACCAACCAACCAAAACCCAAACCAAATCAACCAACCATCTGGTCGACCAGCTAACCAACCAACTGGGGATATATAGAAGTTGCCTGTGAGTGTGAGGGAATGCACTCCCAAGGGAGAAAAAACTATTCCTGGTAAAGACCTAGTTACCTGTCCCCAGGCCCCAACGCCTCTAGGCTACAGACCACCTGTCACCACCATAGCCTGTTTCTAGGATGTGACCTTTTGGGGGTCAAGTCATGAGGCATAAAGCCCCTAGATGGGGCTATGAGTGAACTTCCTAGGGCAAGGTGTTCACTGAGAAACAAAGACTGAGGCTGGTAGAGTGGCCAGTAGATCCACATCATTTTTTTTTTTTTTCGAGACCGAGTTTCTCTGTGTAGCTTTGGTGCCTGTCCTGGTGCCGCTCTGTAGCCCAGGCTGGCCTTGAACTCAGAGATCCACCTGCCTCTGCCTCCTGAGTGCTGGGATTAAAGTCCTGTGCCACCACTGCCCATTTCTTTCTTTCTTTTTTCATCTCATCTTTTAAAAATCATTTATTCTCTTTTCTCCTTTGTTTCTGCCAGACTTGACTGTCTCTGAGCCAAGCAAACTCTTACACGACTCCATTCTTACACATTTATATAAAGTCTACTTTATAAAGCAGGAACCATATTGTACCCCACTAGCCCAAACCAGGGGAATAATACACTAAAGCTGATTCATGTAGAACACAAACTACAGTCATCCAATGCAGAAACATTCATTTTCCTTCTTTTCTACATCTAACTGCATGCTACCCTCCCAAGTTACCCTCCAGCTTACTCCGTTACTTCCCTGGCATGCATTGTTGATCATATTTCTAATTGGATGGGTAGAATTCAAACCCTTTAAAGCCCCTCTTAGAGGAAGCTGGTCTGGTCTTTATCATTTTGAGTCTTAGAGACTCTTAAGGAGTCTTTGGATACAAATGGTAGCTTGGGCTTTGCTAACAAGTGAAGAAAAGGAACCATGGCATCTCTGGTGACCTCAGTAAAGGCGCACTGAGCACCTGTTGTGTGGCCGGCTCTTGGTATAAGCAGAAGCCCTTCAGTGTAAACTCACTGTCTAGTCAATGTTTTCAGTTCTTGCATCCCTTAGCACCAACGTGAAATACTTTCCTCATCTATACACTCTTTACATTGGGCAAGAACCTCCTAGGAACATTTTAATTCAGTTATTTACAATTCAAGATGACTTTGCTTCCTAGAAGGCACTTGGCAGAGTCGAATCAGCATGGGAAGGAACCACAGATCTCTTGAGTAGAAATAGAAGAATTCCAACATAGCCTATAGTGCACTTGGTGACTTCCCACAATATTGTGTTCTCTGCTTCAGAATCTCCACAGTGTTTTATCTCAGAATCTCTGTTTTGATCCCTGTTTCCTCCCTGGGGTGGCACTGCCAACTATAACCCAAACATCCATCCAGGAGAGCAGGGATCCTGAAGGTTATTAGTCCCCTGCAGCCTTATAGCTCCACCATTTGGTACCCATCTCTGCCAGTGCTCAGTGATGCTCTGTATTGATGTAGTTCATACACACACACATCTTTCAAGGTTCTCCCCTGGAGACTGATACTGAACCAAGAGGCCTGACCTGAGCTGTTTTTATTGGAGCCATGGGCAGATTGCTGCAAAAAGAAAGAGCCTGAAGTCTAGAGCTTGGCTGTTTTTGGATCTGAGTGTTGCCTCCCAAAGCAGAATTAACCCTACAGACAGCTTCCCTAAGCGAGTGCCCTGTTGGCCAGATTTAGAATCCCCATAGCGGTTTTTTTTTGTTGTTGTTTTTTTGTTTTTTGTTTTTTGTTTTTTTGGCTCCCTGCTCTGTCCCTGGGGTTTCGCCACACTCATCAGGACTGGACACTATATTCCTTCTGCCCCTCTGTCTGAGAGTTGGCCACGTGAACTGAACAAGCACTATGTGGGTTCTGCACACCAGAGAGCAGGTGTCCTTGCGCTGGCCTTCACTGATAGATGTGCTCATCAGGCTCTCACACCCCTCAGTTAAATGCCTGGGAGAAGCAGTTCAAAAGGTGGACGGATTGCTTTGGGCTCGTGGTTTTATAGGTCTGACTGAGGCCACTGTCGCTGGCTCTGTTGCCACAGGAAGTGAAAACAGAGCATGACAGTGGTGAGGAAAGTGGCTGAGTGGAGATATTCACTCCAAGATGCCTGGGAAGAGGTGTGTGGGGGAGAGATAGTGAGAGGACTGGGAACAAGGTATAGTCTTCAAAGGCATGGCTGCAGTGGCCCGCTTCCCTCCGCTATACCTTACTTCTTCAAAGGTACCATCACTTCCCAAAGTAGCATCACCAGTCAGTGACCAAACCTTAACCATGCGAGCCTGGGGGCCGTTTCCTATCCAAACCACGGCTGCGCTGGTTAGGTTTCCTTAATACACTTCAGTCACGTGTGTGTGTTGTTCTTAGGATTTTTGTCATGTCTGTGAACCTCTTAGACTCTTATGTACTTTCCTTCTGATTCACTAAATTTATTTTATACATTTTTTGGAAAGTGAATTTTTATTCATTCATAGATAGAAATCTGTTTGCACAAAAGGAGATAACAGAAAAATAAGCATAACAGAAAAAATCTTTCTATTAAATTCTAGCTAAAGGCTGCTACTCCTTGAAGGGTCTAGGCATTGTATACATGTCTATACCTGTATTCAGGAGGAAGACCCAGGAGGGTCAGAAGCTTAGGGCCATCCTTAGCTACACTGAGGCCAGCCTGGGATTCACAAGACCTCATCTTATTTAAAAAACATAAAGTCTAGCACAGAAAGGGCAATGGGATTAAACGTG